CAACCTAACCCCCCCGGTTCACATCTATGCGGCAGTGCGGGTTGTGTTTTGCACGGGCATGAGAGCCCATTCATTTGAATGGACTCTCGTGCCCGTGACACGTAGGGAAGAAGTCCCTGCACTACTATGGAAAATGCAGCCCGCACAGGAACCCTCGGTTCCCAGTACAGTTGCGTTTTCCAGTGCGGGGCGTGCCATTAGAATTAATGGCACCGCCCACAGGTCCGCATTTGTCTGTGTGGGTGGTGTGGCTGCATGGATTTTCGAGCGGATACGCAGTGGCACCACCCGCACAGATAGATGATAGATAGATAGATAGATAGATAGATAGATAGATAGATAGATAGACAGATAGATAGATAGATAGACGTTTATGCAGTGAACAGAAACCTTGGCCATATTTTTATCCATATACAAATTCTTTTCCAATCTGATCAATTATCATACCATCAGTATTCTGACTGGGCAACAACTAGCTCAAATCAGTGATACCTATTGAAAGATAGGTAGACTTATATGGACAGATAATAGATAGAAATAGATAGATATAATAGAAATTAGCCAGATAGAAAGATAGATAGATAGATAGATAGACAGATAGATAGATAGATAGATAGATAGATAGATAGATAATAGATAGATAGATAGATAGATAGATAGATAGATAGATAGATAGATAGATAGATAGATAGATAGATAGATAGATAGATAGATAGATAGATAGATAGATAGATAGATAGATAGATAGATAGATAGATAGATAGATAGATAGATAGAAAAGCCCCAAAACCTTAAGACACTGAGGGCTCATTCACACCAGTATATTGCAGGAGCGCTTTTCACAATGTGCCCCTTAGATAGATAATAGATTATAGATACTGTAGATAGACAGAAAAAGGATGGAAGGCAAGGAGAGGAAAAGAAAAAACCATAGAAAGAAAAATGAAATTAAAAAAGAAAGGAAGGAAGAGAGGAAGGAAAGAAGGGAAGGAAGGAAAAATAAAGAAAAGAAAAAAGGAAGGAAGGCAAGGAAAAGAAAAGAAGGAATGGAAAAAATGGAAGAAAATAGACAGATAGATAGATAGATAGATAGATATAGATAGATAGATAATAGATGGATGGATGGATGGATGGATGGAAAGAAAGATATATAGATAGATAGATAGATAGATAGATAGATAATATATTTATAGATAGATAGATGGATAGGAAGATAGATAGGAAGATAGATAGATAGATAGATAGATAGATAGATAGATAGATCATTAATATAGATAGAGATAGACGGACTCGTACTGTAATCTGTATTTATGTGTTCCTCACATGTAATTGTTTATTATGTTGCTCGATTGTAATGTCGTTGTTTCTTTTTTTTTTCTTGACAAGTTTATAGCGTGTAAAAAAAGCCAAGAAAAGCCCTTTAGGCTCACATTTTGCATAATGCACACAGAAGCTTCTGTGGTTCTACTTGAGTTGTCTTAATGCAAGCTACTTAATTAACTTTAGATTAGAAAACACAATACAATGGAGGCGCTGCGTTCATAATGGGAAGCCACAGACAGTAATGGAGAAGCGGGCTGGCTGCACTGCGTCTGTGGAAGGTTCAGGATCCGGTATAATCTGTACCTGGAAGTCACGTCTCTACAATTCATGGTCTGGTGGATGGTAACCTTCACAGGCCCTGATATCTGCTGGTACAATGTATCCATCGCACTGTCCTACATTAACTCTGGGACCTATGCAGGAATAGTTAATGAAGTGTGCCGGCCTTTTTGGATTGATTCTTGAGTATTTAGGCTTAGTCTATACATGTATATATGTTGCCTGTATTTCTGCTCATGTCACATTGATAGACATTAGACACCCTTGTTAACATCTAAAATAACTGCATGCAGAGCCTTGTAGTGTTGTACTGCCACCTAGTGTTTGAATCTATTAGTGGCAGCCTCTGCATTATATCATGTCTGTTGGCCAATGATTGACAAACAACCCTTGGCTAATGGTCTAGCGAAAGTTCAACATGAACTCATGCTAATGAAATTTTTTTTCTTTATGAATCATTAGGCTACTGGTAATTTTTATTCAAACAGTAGAAAACACCTTTTTATGATAAAGCGAAGTATTTCTAATTTATTCAGTGGGTCATGGTGGAGAGTCTTTAAATTTTTAAAATGTAATGCAAGGCACATTTGACATGCATTTTGCAAACATTTTCCTCCTGCAGACACAATGGAAAAAAAGGCTTTAAAAAAAAGAACCGAGTAAAATGCATATTGTGCTTTTAGTGTGTTTTCCGTGTGTAGCCATTGATTATAATATATTGCACTTTTTTTTCCAAAATGTACGAAAAACAGGCAGCATGCAAGATTTTTCAAAAAGGCATTGCTCTGCTCATTAGGGCTCCTCCCACACTAGGCGAATGCAGCACAGTGTACCTGCGGTTTTCATGCATTTCATGCATTTCAGTGTACCTGCGGTTTTCATGCATCTTTCCCATAGACTTTTTACTGGATCTGGTGGTTTTGGTGCATTTTCTGAAAGCACACCAAAAGTCCTGCATGCAGACATTTTCAGAAAGCTCAACAAGACCAATGTACTAGAAGTCTATGGGAAAGTGCAGGCAACTGGCACAAAAATCACGGGTACATTGCACTGCACCCACACACTGTGAAGAAACTGCACCCATACAGTGTGAAAGGGACCTTACACAAGGCACTGATGTGAAAAGCTTCATAGATTATAATGGTAATGGTTTTCTTGCATTTAGAGTGCTGTGATCCTGCATTGCAGCACACAGAAAACCTGATTGTGCTAAGTCCTAAATTTACATTCAAGAATTTCCTCTACTCCCCTGTTAAAAACACAATTTCCTCCAGTGTATCTAAACTCTAGAACACACATGTCAAATACAAGGATCCAGTCTGCAAGGCCATTTCATGTGGCCCTCATCCAGGGGCGTACTGACAACTCATGGGGCCCCCGGCAATAGGGGATCATGGGGCCCCTGTGTCCTTGCCCAAACTCAAAAAAGCCTATGAAAAAGGTACCGGGGACATCTCATGGGGCCCCCTACTGACCCCAGCCCTGGGGCAGTGCCCAAGTTTCCAAATGGTCAGTCCGCCCCTGCCCCCGTCCCTCTCCTGCAGCTACTGCACCTCCTTGTCTCGGCAGTCAGCAGCAGAGATGAGTACTGAACTCCTCATTCAGATCCTGCACTTTCCCATGCAGCCACACAGAGAGGCTTGTCTCTGTCCCCTCCCTGTCTCAGCAGTTGGCAGCAGAGAGGAGGCCAGAACACTTCCTCCAGATCCTACACTTCCTCATGCAGCCGCAGAGAGGCTCGTCTCTGTCCTCTCCCTGTCTCAGCAGTTGGCAGTGAAGAGGACAGAACTCCTCCTACAGATCCTGCACTTCGTAATCTCATGCAGCCGCAGAGAGGCTCGTCTCTGTCCTCTCCCTGTCTCAGCAGTTGGCAGCGAAGAGGAGGACAGAACTCCTCCTTCAGATCCTGCACTTCCCCATGCAGCCGCAGAGAGGCTTGTCTCTGTCCTCTCCCTGTCTCAGCAGTCAGCAGCAGAGAGGAGGACAGACCTCCTCCTACAGATCCTGCACTTCCCCATGCAGCCGCAGAGAGGCTTGTCTCTGTCCTCTCCCTGTCTCAGCAGTCGGCAGCAGAGAGGAGGACAGACCTCCTCCTATAGATCCTGCACTTCCCCGTGCAGCCGTAGAGAGGCTCGTCTCTGTCCCCTCCCTGTCTCAGCAGTTGGCAGCGGAGAGGAGGACAGACCTCCTCCTACAAATCCTGCACTTCCCCGGAGCGGACGTGAGGACGTCGATGACGAAAAGCTTAGGGCGGTGCCTTTGGATTTAAGGTTCAGAATACTCCTGGTTTGTCTGCACGTTGCATGTGCATGTTTGGCTGGGTCTGAGTCGCCTATATTCATTACACATGCTGTTTACACTGGTGTCAGTCTGGACACCTTGCTTGTAAGTGCATTTCTTTATTAAAGTTTGATGCTTTTTTAAAACATACTGCACCATGATTGTTCACTTTTTTCTTTTGAGTGACGGTCTGATCATCTCTCAGTTTGGATACTAAATCACCTTTGGAGTGGATTTTCTACTTTGCAGCACATCGTCTGTTGGAGTTCATCCCTCATTTCTTCAGTGTTGTCACCATATTACTCATTTCTCCCAGAATAACAAGTACTATATGCTGGTTTTTCAACAATCAGCATATTACTCTGGTGAGTTCTATTTAACCATTTTTGGTGGTGGATTTACTTGGTGATTAATTATTTTGGACATTATTGATTATTTGAACTTTTGGACTTTTTCATTTTTGCTGGATTTTATTTTGATTTATAATATTGTTTCTTATTGTTTTGTTATTTTCTTGTTATACTTTTGCATGTATTTAAGCGCAACCTATTTTTTTGAAGTAAAAATGGCTATTGGCAGCATTTTTTATTCAGTGTTTTTTCAGCTAAAAGAACCGCTAGTGTGCATGAAGCCTTATAGTTATTATGAGAATAATAGAATGTTATGCCAGTTGAGAAGGAGGATCACACAGCGCTGGTATCATCCACGGCATGACAATGTTCTGTCTAAAATAAAAAGTGAAAAATCTCAGCACAACCGAAGTCCTCATGCACACGGGAAATTTTTACAGCGGGTCTTTTTGCCTTTTGACATTTTTTTCTATAGCCAGTACCCCCCCAGCATGTTATCCTATGTGTCCATACACACATAGACTGGAATCAACGTTTTTTGGCAGGGACGTTTTTTTGCTGGAATAAACACAGAAATAGTGGGTTTCTAGAGGAGTTTTTTTAGCTGTAAAAAAACGCATCAAAACACGGTAAAACGCCACAAACCGGCATTTTTGGACATTTTTTGGAAACAAAAAATTTTTTTTTTGGGCTAAAAAATACAAACAAACACACAAAATGCCACTAAACGCTAATGCAAGAACACTAAAAAAAGCTTTACACATTCACTATATCTGGTCTCCCCGGACCCTGCATTCACTATATCTGGTCTCCCCAGACCCTGCATTCACTATATCCGGTCTCCCCAGACCCTGCATTCACTATATGTGGTCTCCCCAGACCCTGCATTCACTATATCCGGTCTCCCCAGACCCTGCATTCACTATATGTGGTCTCCCCAGACCCTGCATTCACTATATCCGATCTCCCCAGACCCTGCATTCACTATATCCGATCTCCCCAGACCCTGCATTCACTATATCTGGTCTCCCCGGACCCTGCATTCACTATATCCGGTCTCCCCAGACCCTGCATTCACTATATCCGGTCTCCCCGGACCCTACATTCACTATATCCGGTCTCCCCGGACCCTGCATTCACTATATCCGGTCTCCCCAGACCCTGCATTCACTATATCCGATCTTTCCAGACCCTGCATTCACTATATCCGATCTCCCCAGACCCTGCATTCACTATATCCGGTCTCCCCGGACCCTGCATTCACTATATCCGGTCTCCCCGGACCCTGCATTCACTATATCTGGTCTCCCCGGACCCTGCATTCACTATATCTGGTCTCCCCGGGCCCTGCATTCACTATATCTGGTTTCCCAGGATCCTGCATTCACTATATCCGGTCTCCCCGGACCCTGCATTCACTATATCCGGTCTCCCCGGACCCTGCATTCACTATATCCGGTCTCCCCGGACCCTGCATTCACTATATCCGGTCTCCCCGGACCCTGCATTCACTATATCCGGTCTCCCCGGACCCTGCATTCACTATATCCGGTCTCCCCGGACCCTGCATTTACTATATCTGGTCTCCCCGGACCCTGCATTCACTATATCTGGTCTCCCCCGGACCCTGCATTCACTGTATCCGGTCTCCCCAGACCATGCATTCACTATAGCCGGTCTCCCCGGACCCTGCATTCACTATATCTGGTCTCCCCAGACCCTGCATTCACTATATCTGGTCTCCCCAGACCCTGCATTCACTATATCTGGTCTCCCAGGACCCCGCATTCACTATATCCGGTCTCCTCAGACCCTGCATTCACTATATCTGGTCTCCCCGGATCCTTTATTTTATTAGTGTAAAAAAATGAATACATTCTCCAGTATATATATAGTATAGTGTGTTTGGGCAATCTGACACTAACTGACGCTGGGGGGAACTGACTGACACTGACGTCACCAGCGACACTAATACAGTGATCAGTGCTAATAATATGCACTGTCACTGTACTAATGATACTGGCTGAGAAGAGGTTAACATCAAGAGGTTAATACTAATGACAAGACATTAACATCTAGGTCGATCAAGGGGTTACCTATGTGTCAAACAATGTTTACTATGTGTAAAGTGTGGTAATTTTAATAAGCAATATGCTGGTTTTTACTCCCTGCTTTGCTGGGAGGAACAAAAATGGCATTTCACTGCTGTCTGTAGAGAGCCCTTTGCTGTTTAAAAACACAGAGCTCTCTCCTGTCATTCCTTCAGCCAGTCAGCGGGCCCCGGCCAAAAAGGCCGGGACCTGCTGATCGGCATGTGCTGTAACAAATGGCAGCTCACGTTTCCGGAAGAAAGCCACAACTTACAAATGCATTACTACGCCCGTATGAGCTGACCTGTTGCAGTATATGTACTGCAGCGGTTCGGCAATCGGTTAGTGTAGCATTTACATCCTTGAATCCATATGACCTTAGCTCAGGCATGCAGACAGAAGGGTGTGCTTAGCTGGAAAAAAAAAAACATTTCCCCTCCTGAAGACTCCTGGGATGTATGACATCATTTGCCTAGGCCAACAAGCAGGAAGTAACTGAAGAAATGTAAAAAAAAAAAAAATAAAACAAGTAAATATTATAAACTTGACTATCTATTTATTAATGCTAGTAGCATAAGGATTACAAATCCATGAAGTGAGTGATGTTCCCCTTTTAGGGTATACTCCCCAAATGCTGCTGCTAATTTTTGAATATTATACACCAAAAACAATGCACATTAAAAATAGTCAATGCTAAAAAGATCGGATAGAATTTTATTAGCTTTGCACTGTCGATGTTCTTAAACAAGACTATCTCACCTCGAGGACCGGGGGGAGCGATCACTTCTATTATTCAGTGAAACAAATCGGATAAGACGTGATGCAGGATAAACATTTCCCAGGACATCAGTCATAAGGGAAAATATCATTTGTTGTGCTAGCAGGGTGATGGAACAAATGGGATTTCCAAGATCTTAATTATAACAGGAAAAATGTCAAACTGCTCAAAAAATAAATGATTGTGCATGTGACCCAATATTTCATTTCAATTATTGTCAGCCACTATAATGAGCAGCATGGAATTTACTTACTGCATTGCCTATGTTATTGTTGTTTCTGCAGTTTTATCATGACCCTGTTGGTATTATCACTATGATTATTATTTTATTAATTATTATTATTTATGTAATAATGGTAATGATGAGCCCTAATGGGGGGGATATATATATCGTACACATCCCTCCACTGGCTTCTGATTGCGCAATGGATCAAATTCAAAATCCTAACACTGACGTACAAAGCTGTCCACCATACTGCCCCGAACTTACATCACTGACCTAATATCCAAGTACCACCCAGCACACACACACTCCGCTCCTCACAAGACCTCCTTCTCTCTTGTTCCCTGGTCTCCTCCTCCCATGCCCGCCTCCAGGACTTCTCCAGGGTGTCACCCATCCTCTGCAACTCCCTGCCCCAACCCATCAGATTATCACCTACTCTCCTCTCCTTTAGGCGCACCCTGAAAAACCCATCTCTTCAGGGAAGCCTACCCCACCCCCTGCTAACTTGCCGACCTCCTCCACTCTTCCTACCACCCCATCCCCCACAGCTATCTCCTCCTGTACCACCATCCCCTCCCTCCTAGATTGTAAGCTCGAAGGAGCAGGGCCCTCGAATCCCCTCATGTTTTGCATTGTATTGGTATTGTTCTGTCACATGTTCTGTCCCCCTTTGTAATGTACAGCGCTGAGCGAACTATTGGCGCTTTATAAATACTGTATAATAATAATAATATATATATATATATATACAGTGTATGTCTATACATACTGCATATACTGTGTGTATATATATATACATATATATATTATTTATTTATTTATTTCAGGTACTTATATACCGCCGTCAATTTACGCAGCACTTTACATATATATTGTACATTCACATCAGTCCCTAACCCTCAAGGGGTGTACAATCTAAGGTCCCTAACTCACATTCATACATACACACACTAGGGACAATTTAGACAGGATCCAATTAACCTACCAGCATGTTGTTGGAGCGTGGGAGGAAACCGGAGTACCCGGACGAAACCCACGCAGTCACAGGGAGAACATGCAAACTCCAGGCAGGTGGTGCCGGGGTTGGGATACGAACCAGCGACCCTAGTACTGCCAGGCGGAAGTGCTAACCATTTAGCCACTGTGCTGCCCATACACCATATATATATATATACAGTATTTTTTTACTTTTTGTTATTGAACTTGTCCAGTAAAAAAATTAAAAAAATCTAATTTTGCCGTAAATTTAGGCCAAAATGTATTCTGCTCCATGTCTTTGCTAAAAAGAAATCCCAATTCATGTAGATTAATTGGTTTACGTGAAAGTTATAGCGTCTGCAAATGGCGGTATATATACTGGAAATGTTTTTATTTTTTACTAGTAATGGCAGCGATAAGTGACTTATAGTGGGGCTGCGGCGGGCATTCTGACACTGGGGAGGCATCACCAGCAAGGCTCCCACTTTTCATCCATTACACATCTGCATCAGAGGCTGGTCATCAGCTCTGAGGAAAGGGATTTGTCCCCGAAACGCGTCAACCATTTGACGCACTGACAGTGAGGACACCTTGCCTGCCGTTGTGGCCATTGTCATTTTTCTATGCTTTTTAGATACATGCTTCGTCTGTGAGTATGTTTTTATTATTTTTTACTCTTTACAATAAACCTTGGATAATGCACTAGGTGTGTGCGCCACCTGTTTTCTCTCTATCCAGTGGATGATTTCCCCATCTGAGGAGGGCTGCACCCCTGAAGCATTTCCTTTGGTTTTCGCTGTCCTGATACCCTTGGCTTCCCTTTTGGCTGTGCATATCCTGAGGCGCTGGAGAGTACATATGACACTGGGGGGGAACTAACTTGGTGTCACTGACATCCCCAGTGACACCAATTCAGTGATCAGTGCTAATATATAGCAACGACACTGTACTAATGGCACTGGGCAGGAAGGGGTTAACATGTGGGGCATTCAAAGGGTTAACTGTGTGCTGTTTTACAGTGTGCCGTGTGCGTGCTTCACTGTAAGCACACTGCTATGCATGGCTCTGCTATGCAAAGTCATGCATAGCAGTGTGCAGGAGCTGAAAGGGGAAAGAACTCTTTTGTTTGCTTACAGTTCTCTCCTTCTGTTGGTAATCCTGCTCGATCACCAGGTGCCGGTGAGCAGGGGCAGACTGACAACTCATGGGCCCCCCCAGGCAATAGGAGATCATGGGGCCCCTGTGTCCTTTCCCAAACTCAAAAAAGCCTATGAAAAAGGTACCAGGGTATCTCATGGGGCCCCCTACTGACCCCGAGCCCTCGGGCAGTGCCCGAGTTTCCAAATGGTCAATCCACCCCTGCTGGTGAGTGATTACCGACCGGGACACGGTGATTGACAGCCAAGGCCTTGAATAGTGGCGCAGGCAGGGTGCGCATGCGGGTCACGTGCACCCCCTGCCCAGAAATGCAAGATCACGTATACATACGTGATTTTTCACACCCCTGCCGCCCTGTAGCAGTGTTTCTGCTATAGAGCGGTGGGAAAACACAGTGGTGATGTTAAGAACATACAATACAGTTGAATAAAAGAGAATGATGCCAAGTCAAATTCAGCTATTGCAATAATAGCATTTAAAATACATTGATGATGTATTAGTGAATGCAGAGCTACACTAATGTATATCTTCTATATCTGCCTGGTGTTTGTCTTCAATGCATACTCACTATCCAACATTATATATATATATTTATTCATAAATGCCCTCACATAAGGAAATGATTATCCTGAGGTAGGAGTCCTATTTGTGCAGATGCACATAGACTAGTAGACATAATGGGCCCATCGGA